TGCCACCTTAGGTGTACGTGGCTGGCGCCTTAGCTGGTTGAGCTATAGGCGCCGAGCCTGTGCCTCAATTTCTTAAGAGGGGAATAATCCTACCTTCTTTAGGTATGATTTTGTTGAGAATATTAAATTAGTTGATACATACAAAGCTCTCAACACAGTGTCTAATATGTGCCTATATATAATATAAATGTTTTCCATTACTGTTGTATCTACTCACATAGTGAGGAGGAGGGAGGGAAAGCTCACAGAATGGAATGCAGAGCTGCAGAGCTGAAATGGGGATTTAACTCTTCCAGACTCATTCTCTCTCCTCCATTTCTACTGCATATCTGCAGAGAATATGGCCAGTAGGGTTAGCAATGAGAAAGAGCAGCCTTCTGGGCTCGGCGCCCATAGCTCAGTGGTTAGGGTGCCAGCCACATACATGGGGCTGGCGGGTTCAAACTCAGCCCAGACGTGCTAAACAACAATGATAACTACAACCAAAAAAATAGCTGGATGGGCGGTGCCTGTGACTCAGTGGGTAGGGCGCCAGCCCCATATACCCAGGGTGGGTGGGTTTGAACCCAGCCCCGGCCAAACTGCAACAAAAAAATAGCTGGGAGTGCATTAATGTACATAGTTACCATTCAAATAGCTGGGCATCGTGGTGGGTACCTGTAGTCACAGCTACTCGGGAGGCTGAGGCAAGAGAATCCCCTAAGCCCAGGAGTTGGAGGTTGCTGTGAGCTGTGATGCTACAAAACTCTACGGAGGGCGATAAAGTGAGACTCTGTCTCTAAAAAAAAACAAAGGCCAGGCATTGTGGTGGGCACCTGTAGTCCCAGCTACTCAGGACACTGAGGCAAAAGAATCATTTAAACTCAAGAGTTTGAAGTTGCTGTGAACTGTGACCCCATTGCCACCCCATTTCAAGGGTGACATAGAAAGACTCTGTCTCAAGAAAAAAAAAAAGAGAAAGAGAAAGAGCATCTTTCTCCCAGTTTCCCTGCAGGAAGAATTCTGCCTGAATCACATGCCCAGTCTTGGACCAGTCCCTGTTGCCAGGCTAACAGTGTTCTGAGACTGGCCGGACTTGAGTCTCTGGGCATGCCTGGAGTGAGGAAGGGTTCTTTGACCAGCAATAAAATGGAAGCCACATAAAGTAGAAGTAGGAAAAATCCTGAAGGAAAATATAGCTGATAGTCAAACTAAAGTGTGTGTTTGTGGATTAAGAATGTTTCTTTCCAATTAATATTCGCTAGCTATTTTTTAGCACCTGTCATGTTCTCAGGCAGAGTCCTCAACACTCTACACATAGTATCTCATTTCTCCTCACAACAGTCCTATATGAGGTATCGGTAGTTACTGTCATCCCCATTTACTTAGAGAGGCATAAGTAATTTTCCCAGTGGCTCATAGCAAGGAAGGGAAGAAACCAGGATTTCAATCCCGACTTAGAAACCCATGCTTGTGAGCACCCCACCACGCTCCCTCATGTGTCTGCTGTGGGCTGTGGAGCTACAAAGACCTGATCTTCCCCCGCCCGCCCCTTGCCAAGCAAGCTCACAAACAAGGAAGGGAATCTGAAACTCTGTACTGAAGTTCAGCACAGGGTCAGCCTGTAGAAATAGCATAAAAGCTTCTTCTAGCTTTTTGGAATGAGGGCCTAAGTACCCAAAGTGTCATGACAGAGGTGTTCAGAAGCGACGGCAAAGGCATGAGGGAGAGACAGTTCTCTCAGAAGGGTTCCAGGAAGATTTAGAAGAGATGACATCAGGGTGGGCCTTCAAAAATGGGTAGAATTTCTCTCTGCAGGAAAGATGAGATGGGGCTGAGAGGCAGCTAACTACTGTGGGAAATGTCTAGGTTTCGGAACCCAACTGGGCTGATTCATAGGCTAGCTTTACCACTTTTTGGCAGGTTGACAGTGGGTAATTTCTGAGTCTATTTCTCATCTGCGTAACAGGGGAGGCTCCTATCCCAAAGGCTGCAGTGAGGTCAAATGGGGCAATGTCTGTAAAAGGCCTACCCCATGGTCTGGCTTTGAAGATGTCAATAAATGTTAATCTTGTTTCCTTCCCTTTCCCTTCAAGAGCAAAACTCAGAGGCATCAAGCGATACCTTATCTGGAGAATGGTCCGTGGGGTGGTGGGGAGGAGAGGAAGCCTTTAAGGAAAATAGTGTTTCTAAAGGCTTTGTGAGATTGGTTACCCACTTCAAAACAGAGGGTTGCTGGGCTCCAAAGATGGACCAGGAGACAGTCTTTTACCTTTCTCTCTCTCTCTGTAAATAAGAATACCCAGACTGTATTAAATTTTTCTGGGAAAGACACTAACAGAGACTTCAGCCTGCCTTTATGCCTGTGACTAGTGAGTGGTCAGGGCAGAATGAAGGACCTTGTGGGAGATAGCCATGTAGGCCTAGAACCCAGGACAAGAGGGAGGAGCTGGGAGATTCAGGGACAACAGATCCCCACACTCTGCTCTTTGATTGAAGCAGATTAATTTAAACTTCCTATCTCCGTCCATAATTATTCCAAATAGAAATCTTCATCTTCATCAATAAAATATTTTTCTTTCTTTTAAGCAGTAACAGTGGGTAAATGAAAAAAAATTAAAGACAATTTTCCAGGTTACCTAATTACAATTTTTAATCATTATAGTCCAACCAACTGTCCTACTTCAGGCTAATCTAGGTGAAATTCCAGTGTGGCCTGAGGCATAAGAGATAGCAACTAAGTAGTGCACTTTAACTGAAATGCTGATACTTAGATCATTGATTATTCCACATGAAAAGTTTGATTAATCAATATAGTCATTATTTTATAATTGATTATCTAACTTTTACCTGATTCCAGGGTAACCTAATGCTCAGCCAGGGAGGAAAAAGCCCACAAACCTGATCCATCTAAAAGTGAACTTTTAGCTACAGAAGCTCTTTCTTAAGCTAACTTAAAAGCTACAACTAACACTCCCTGCATTTTAGAAATTCTTATTGGCTCGGCGCCTGTGGCTCAAGTGGCTAAGGCGCCAGCCACATACACCTAAGGTGGCGGGTTGGAATCCAGCCCGGGCATGCCAAACAATGATGGCTGCAACAAAAAAAATAGCCAAGCGTTGTAGGGGGCGCCTGTGGTCCCAGCTACTTGGGAGGCAGAGGCAGGAGACTCGCTTGAGCCCAGGAGTTGGAGGTTGCTGTGAGCTGTGATGCCACAACACTCTACCCAGGGTGACAGCTTGAGGCTCTGTCTCAAAAAAAAGAAATTCTTATTACAGGAAGATTGGAATAACCACATAGCTTTAAGAAAGCTTGACAAATGAAAATCCAGAATTTCCCCAAGAGACATGCACCATTTTTTTGCTGAAGAATTTACAATAGAATTCTCTTAACTAGTTGAAATTCTAAAAGTTTTGCCCTGTTTTTTGTTTGTCTGTTTGCTTTTGTTATTGTTTTTAACCAGGAGCAAGCCTAGCTCATAAACTCTGTTAGTTAGGATATAGGCTAAGCTGCTATGACATAGAAAACTAAAAATACTGTGGCTCAAACAAGATAGAAGTTTATTTCTACTCTACGTGTAGGTCCAGAGGAAGGAAGTTGTGCTTCAGGAGAGCATCTAGAGATCCAGGCTCCTTCAGCCATACCCAAGAACATTGTCCTTATGCGCATGGTCTAAGTGGGCTCAGCACTCCCACATCCATATTCCCACTCATGAGAGGGGATAAGAGGAAGAAGCCGAGCAGCTTCTACCCAAGGCTGTAACCCAGAAGTTGCACGCCTTGCTTCCACTCCATCCGATCTGCCAAACTTAGTTCACATGAAATGTCCCTAGCTGGACTGCTGTGTGCCAAGCTAAAACTTGGATGATGGGAGAGGTTCTAACTTGAATAAAGAAGAGAATGGCTCAGCGCCTATGGCTCCAGCAGCTGAGGAGCCAGCCACATACACCTGAGCTGGCGGGTTCAAATCCAGCCTGGGCCTGCCAAACAATGATGGCTGCAACCAAAAAATAGCTGGGCATTATGGCTGGCACCTGTAGTCCCAGCTATTTGGGAGGCAGAGGCAGGAGAATCGCTTGAGCCCAGGAGTTGGAGGTTACTGTGAGCTGTGATGCCATAGCACTCTACCCAGGAGGACAGCTTGAGGCTCTGTCTCAAAAAAGAAAAAAAAGAGAATGGATATTGGGGGACAATTAGCAATCTTTGCCTCCCTGGTCATCCACTATGTGCATAACGAACAACTTGACAATGCCCTTCCCTTTTGAGTTATAAATATTCTTTTGTAGCTTAGCAGCAGCTGCCAAATCTGTCAACCAACAAAAATTAGTTGGACTCATAGACTCTTAGCAGGTAATTTTTAGGAATATATACCACCTCTGTTCTGAGGAATTTACCCACGGACGGAAGCCAAGTCCA